CTATATAATATTGTTATCAGACAGCAAAATAACAAAAATAATAAACACTGTTTAAGAAAACAATAGAAAATACAAATATCGACCAACATTCTAAGCAGATATAATTCTCAATATGTCCTTTATCAAAAATGAAACTTAAAAAATAAGGTATATTAGTGATAGGGTATGAAAGATAATAATCCAAAACAGATGCCCCCCATATGGTGTAAATTAGTGGGGATCCTGGTCAATGAAAGCATATATACTATTTAACCATTAAAAAGGAGAAAATTGCTGGTCTAGAGACCATAGTTAGGAACTTCCGGGGTTTTCTGTTAGAACGGAGATCCAAAATATATATAAAATTCTAACAATGTTTATTAATGTCAATTCAATACAAATATCACAAAAGACCAAATAAATAAATAGACCACCCTCCATTACTGTGAGACTATAGCTTGGAGCCTGCGTGGCTGACATTCAGGCCACATAGATACATGTGTAAGGCAACGTTGTCTTTTTAATAGGTGACATAGGGTGGTTTATTTATTTATTTGTTCTTTTGTGATATTTGTACGAAATTGACATTAGTAAACTTACTACAATTAGAACAGAAGGCCCCGGAGGCTGCAAACTATGGTCTCTAGACCAACAATCTTCTCCTTTTTGTTGGTTAAATAGTTAATACAACCCTTTTTGTTGGTTAAATAGTTATTACATCCTTTTCCTGTAGCTGTATAGAATAGTAATGTATACGATCTAGCCTGCAGTGACAGATATGTAAATGCCCCCCCCCCCAAAAAAAAAAGGATGATGCACTGACTGTCAGTGAGAAGATAGGGGGTATTCTACCACCACCTCCCTGCTGTACCTACAGCTTACCTTCACCAATGGTGTCATTATCCTCCTGTGACACCTTCTCCTCATTCCTCAGAACTAATGGCCAGGGGTCGAGCTGTAGTAGTGAAGACAGATCTCACCACTCAGTTATTAGGAATCAATAGGTTGAACCTGTTGGCCTCCATCCACCCAGTTTTGGTTGGACCTACCTTTACAGAGTATGGTCACCCAAAACGGACAATTGGTGGACACAAGCATATTAGAATACTCGCTGGCTACTTATGTACATCAGATGCTTCCAGGGCTGAGTCTGAAAGGCTGATGTTGATTCACCCCCCAGTAACAATTAGAGACTGGATTTGAGGCGTAACCACTTTAATTATGTAGTCAGGTTCCCTGCAATGAAAACTCATTTTTAGGAATACTTCAGGGGCCAGGGTTTGGCTTCAGTGATGGCTGAAAGAATAGTCCCAGCAAATGAAAGGGCACCCAGGAGTTCCTCAGAAAGGGTCCAGTTCCTGGAAGTAAGCTGCCTTTATATGCATCACCTCCACTGCTCCCATTCAACAGTCATCAGCTTTGGGTAGACTTAGCTGTGGATTCCTTCTGTTCCACACTTCTGATTTAATTAAATTAAAAGACTGACAGATATATACTAGGCTAAAATTAAATTCCATTCACGTTTTACTTTGTTTGGGATAGAGTGGAGTAGGGTTAGGGTTGCTGTCACACTGGCCTATTGAGGAACATTGTAAAAATGCATATCGCATTTTTGGTGCATTTTCTGATTGCCTGACTGAGCAAGCACCTGTGAAACATGGATATGCGACTACAATAGCAGTCCAAAAATACAACCACAGTGGCTTTTTAATGCATTTTATATTGATTTTATTGGGAGGGGCATTTTTGAAGCATTTTCTATTGATTTCAATGGAGGAGCGTTTTTAAACAAGGTGCCAAAGATGCAACATGCAGGACTTTTCAAAATGCACCGCTCTAGGGCAAGGCGTTTCATAGGATTCAAAGGGAAATATTTTTTTGTTTTTTTCCTGTGCTTTTAGAATGGTAAAAGTGCAGCAAACACATCAGTGTGAAAGGGCCCTAAAAATTAATTATGGCTGTCTTTATTTCCACTGGGTCATTTTCACTTCCGGTGCCAGTGACCAACTGTTACCATGACAGAAAGCGAGAAAAATCTCTCCAAAAAGGGACACAGACATGAAAACCTTTCAAAGATCCCAGCACATCCCCAATTCTACTAGAGAAAGTGTTTCTAGTAAATTCCTTAAAGAATGAATAATATAATTTTCCTGTCTCATGTAGCTGGAATCACTACATCAGCTGATCCCTCTCTGCGGGATGTATCACCAATAACCAATTCTTCTACAATTGATAGCCGATTTCACTAATAACAGGACACAAAGAACACAATGCCCTGGCCATCTCAGCTAATACTATAACCCTTTACGTCTTGTTCTCATCAACTGCTTCTTCACAGATGCTTACATAGTCCCACTGCATTTACATAGTGGCGGTATTCCCACTGCATTTTACAAGTAAAGCATTGTTAACTTCACAAAGTCCTGACCTTTTTCGATAGCACAAGTCCCTGTTTCTCAACCTATTTTAAAAAATGTCCATTTTACACAGAAAACCTGAGAAATGGTGATCTGATCTCTGCAGCACACCAGCTAAAACTAAATCATCAAGGGTCAGTGGAAAGAAAGTCCCCTTACATTCATGATCAGTGGGGGAAGAATGCCCCCTAACATTGGCATTCAGTGTGGGCAGAATGCCTTATGCCTTGATGGTCAGTGGGCAGAATGACTCCTTGTTCGGACAGATTTCTGAGTTTTTCCTAAAAATTACAACCTCCCACGGCACCATCTGAAATGGCCCATGAACCGCCAGGGAGGTTCAATGACCCCTGAACCTCCACGGTCAGTGGGATCAATGGCCCTGAACCTCCACGGTCAGTGGGATCAATGGCCCTGAACCTCCACGGTCAGTGGAAGGGTCTTCTTATATCAATGGCCCCCCAGTGGGCAGAACCTCCACGGTCAGTGGGATCAATGGCCCTGAACCTCCACGGTCAGTGGGATCAATGGCCCTGAACCTCCAGTGGGATCAATGCCCCTGAACCTCCACGGCCAGTGGGATCAGTGGGATCAATGGCCCTGAACCTCAGTGGGATCGGCCCCTGAACCTCGGCGGCCAGTGGGATCTGAATGGCCCTGAACCTCCACGGCCAGTGGGATCAATGCCCCTGAACCTCCACGGTCAGTGGGATCAATGCCCCTGAACCTCGGCGGCCAGTGGGATCAGCCCTGAACCTCGGCGGCCAGTGGGATCAATGCCCCCTAACCTCCACGGTCAGTGGGATCAATGCCCCCTGAACATTGGTGGTCAGTGAAAGAGAATGCCCCCTCAATGGCCTTGTGGTCAACCTCCAGGAAGGTCAAAACATTGGTAGTCATGGATAGAATGCCCTATACCATGGTAGTCAATGGGAATGCTCCTTACAATGGTGGTCAGTGAGAGGAATGCCCCCTAACCTTGGTGGTCAGTGGAAGAAGACCCCTAACATGGCAGTCAGTGGACAGAATGCCCTATACCTTGGTGGTCAGTGTGGAAGAATGGCCCCTAACACTTGTGGTCAGTGGGAAGAATGGCCCCTAACACTTGTGGTCAGTGGGAAGAATGGCCTGAACTAACACTTGTGGTCAGTGGGAAGAATGGCCCCTAACACTTGTGGTCAGTGGGAAGAATGGCCCCCCTGAACAGTGGGAAGAATGGCCCCTCCACTTGGTCAGTGGGAAGAATGGCCCCTAACACTTGTGGTCAGTGGGAAGAATGCCCCTAACACTTGTGGTCAGTGGGAAGAATGGCCCCTAACACTTGGGTCAGTGGAAGAATGGCCCCTGAACATGGTCAGTGGGAGAATGCCCCTAACACTCCACGGTCAGTGGGATCAATGCCCCTAATGGAAGAACGCACCCTAACATTGGTAGTCAGTGAGGGAATGCCCTATACCTTAGTGGTCAGTGGGAAGAATGCTACTTACATTGGTGGTCAATGGGAAGAATCTCCATGTTTAGTGGGATCAATGCCCCCTAAGATAGGTGGCAAAGATGTGTCCAAAAGACACAGAGAGCACAGCTCCGCCCTGCCTCCTCCCTCATCATTGGTTCTGATAGACAGAAGCGGGAGACAATGGCTCCTGCTGCTGTATTCCAGCCAATGAGAAGCGAGAGAGCCAACAGAGACTTGGCTCTTGTGCACATCAAAGGATTGGGATCAGGCTCGGGTGAGTATTTAGGGGAGCTGCATGCAGGTTTTTTTGTTTACCTTATGGCATAGAATGTAGTGTTCTGCTTTTACAACACCACCCCCCCCCCTCGTGATGTGTAAACTTAGGGATCCTATGCCCAGTACTCACGGTCGGTCAGCTCTCTCCTTGCCACTCCCAGTGCTGGGCTGACAGCAGTAGTGATGGCGCTGTCACTACTCTTGTCAGCTTTGTAACAGATGGAAGGTGCCTTCATCCCTACAGTAAACCACTGCACCCAGTGCAGCCACCCCTCCCACCCACCCGGTGTCCTGGCCCCCCGGCCCTGATTGTGGGTGCATCCCCCACTGCCTCCCAGCTCTCTCCTCTCCCAGCGCTGGGGCTGACAGGAGTAGTGATAATGCGGTCACTACTCTTGTCAGCCTTGTAACAGAGGGAAGGTGCCCTCATCCCTACAGTAAACCATTGCTCCCAGGGCAGCCACCCCTTTCGCCCACCCGATTGTGGGTGCAGCACCCCACTGCCTCCCTGCTCTCTCCTTCCACTCTGAGCCCTGGCTGACAGGAGTAATGATGGCGCTGTAACTACTCCCGTCAGCCTTGTAACAGAGGGAATGGGCCCCCATCCCTACAGTAAATCATTGTGCCCAGGGCAGCCGCCCCTCCTGCCCACCCGATTGTGGGTGCAATACCACTCAATGAGAGAATTGCTGGCTTTCCGGATTTCCGCAGTAACATTCTTTGAAATCAGAGGCAGAAATGTGTCCGGTGACATGGTGGAGATGATGACCTGTTCCTATGCCTGCAGTCAGCCCCGGTCCCATAACAGACAAGGAGTGAGAATACAGAGGGGGGTGGGGATCAGGGGGACACCCTCCCATAGGGCTCCATACCTAGTTTGATGGCCTGATGATACTTGTCCAGTGCCTCCTCCAGCCGGCTGTCCTTGATCAGGGCACTGCCCTCCTGGGTGAGCCTGCCAGCCTGGACCTCCCAGGGGAACCACTTGCTGATGACATTGCTGAGCACCACGTTGACCCTGTGGTGATGGAGAGCGCCCCCCTGCAGGAGGGCCCGGCACACTGGGCACTCTGGCCGCCCCAGGCACTGCCTGCAGAAGGTGTGCCCGCACTGCACGGTCACCGGCTCGGACACCAAGCCCCGGCACTCCGTACAGGTCAGGACCCCCCAGCCGGCCCCGTCCGCGGAGGGCGGCTCTCTGCTCCGGATCTGCTCTGCCAGGCACGACACCAAAGTCTCCAGCTGCTCCGCACACAGCTCGTCCTGGGCGGCCGCCTCCTGGTACAAGCCGAAGGCATCGTGCAGCTTCCCCGAACATGCCAGGCACTGTGCCCGCCTCAGCAGCAGCCCCCAGTGCCCTCCGCCCCGGCCGGCTGTCCCTGCAGCTGCCGCTCGTAGATCTCACATGCCAACTGGAAGTTTTTCGCCTGGAAAGCCTGAGCGGCAAACTCCAGCATCAGGCTGCCGTCTGCCTCATGGGTGTCCATGCTGGCTGCCTGTGCCCGGAGCGGCTCCTCTCACCTTCCCCCGGGGTCCCTCAGCTGATCCATTCCTGCAATACGGAGAACCAGAGCCTTCCAGACAAGTGTTATATAAAGCGCCGTCATGTGACCCGCGCCGCCGCTTCCCATTGGCCGGCCTCCTTCAAATTGTTACAAAACCTCCCTGGGTTTTGTAACAAGGTTGCAGGTCTGTGTCATTGTCTGTGAGAGGAATGTCACCCGGAGCTGCCTGTGGAGGGCGCCTCATACAGGGAACTTCATCAACTGTGGAGGGGGCCCAGTCCTCACATCCCAGGGGGTCAGAGCTTTACTCCCCTGCAGCAGCCGACCCCCACCACCTCACCTACATCCACCCTGAAAACATGTCGCTTTACTGCCCTGCAGCAGCCGAGCCCACCACCTCCCCCGCACCCACCCTGAAAACATGTCGCTTTACTGCCCCGCAGCAGCCGAGCACGCCACCTCACCCACACCCACCCTGGAAACATGATGTCGCTTTACTCCCCTGCAGCAGCCGACCCCACCACCTCACCCACACCCACCCTGGTAACATGTCGCTTTACTCCCCTGCAGCAGCCGACCCCCCACCACCTCACCCACACCCACCCTGGTAACATGTCGCTTTACTCCCCTGCAGCAGCCAAGCACGTTACCTCACCCACACACCCACCCTGGAAACATGTCGCTTTATTGTCCTGCAGCAGCCGAGCACGCCACCTCACCTACACCCACCCTGGAAACATGATGTCGCTTTACTCCCCTGCAGCAGCCGACCCCACCACCTCACCCACACCCACCCTGGAAACGTGGCTTTACTCCCCTGCAGCAGCCAAGCACGCCACCTCACCTACACCCACCCTGGAAACATGATGTCGCTTTACTCCCCTGCAGCAGCCGAGCCCACCACATCACCCCACACCCACCCTGGTAACATGTCGCTTTACTCCCCTGCAGCAGCCAAGCACGTTACCCTCATCCACACCCACCCTGGAAACATGTCGCTTTACTGTCCTGCAACAGCCAAGCACGCCACCTCACCTACACCCACCCTGGAAACATGATGTCGCTTTACTCCCCTGCAGCAGCCGAGCACGCCACCTCACCCACACCCACCCTGGAAAAATGATGTCGCTTTACTCCCCTGCAGCAGCCGACCCCCGTCACCTCACCTACACCTGTCACAATCACGGCGTCAGACCCCAGACCTTCTCACCAAACTCGTGACCGAAGGACCGGACGATCTAAAACCGCGATGTGACATGCGTAACAATGCCACACCCAGCTGCACCCTACACAGCGATTTTCCAGCTAATGGTCAACTGATCGATGTGCCGTCAGCCTGAACAATTGTTACTGGGTCAGGTTAATTACGCAACTAACCCTTCACTGCCACCACCCCTTCTTGTACAGAGAAAGGGGAAACTCTCTTTAACAAATATACACTGTAATGGTTGAAAAGTCTTCTGTCCAATACGGTCACCGCAGGCCGATTGGGCAGAGGATTAAACAAACACAGTAGCTTCTCTTTAGAGGCAGGGATTCGTAAATTGCAATTAAGCGCTTTAGAAACAGTTTAACACTTTCAGAAAGAAAGATTTATTACTAAAAGAGACAAACAGGTGCAATAAAATATTTACAGAAAAAGATGTAACTAATATATATATATATATACACACACAAAGAACCATAGCACAGCAGAGAGATAATAGGAAGGAAGTTAAAGGGTTGGGTTACTTGCCATTTAAGCCTTTGATGTAAACAGATCCAAGTTGCAGAGCAGAATGGTGCTTTGATCTCCCGCTGTTACGATGGAAAAAATGGGAGAAGTCTTCAACTTAACTTTTTAGGCCTGCTAGCCTGTGTTTTAAAGTCCCCCAGCAGGGGGGTGGCTCCGAGTAACTGACCAGTACTCTGTTTAGGGAGGGATCATCGGGCGAACTTCGAATTTGAACCAACATCTGTCATAATCCATGATATGAAACATAGGGGACAAACTGACTTGAGGAATGTTCATTTAATTCTGTCACCTACGCTGCTAGGTTTTATGAGGTTACAATCTCTTTCAATTCCTGGGAAAAGCTGCCTTATCTCTGTTACGAGGTGAGAGATTACACATGTTCTTGGGCAGCTAGGCTCTGTCTCTCTTGGGGGGCTTTGTAGCTCTGGGCCCCCTGCTGCTCTACCTGCCAGTTACACTTTTAACACACATCCACACATCTGTCACTGTGCCTCTCAGGAAGGGAGGTGGAAGGGGAATGAGAAATGAGAGATACATATATATACTCCGTACCAAGATGGAGGTGCCTACAAAATGGTTGAACAGTGTACTTCACTGTGTTTTGTGCAGTTTTTGCGACAACACCCACCCTGGAAACATGATGTGGCTTTACTCCCCTGCAGCAGCCGACCCCGCCACCTCACCTACACCCACCCTGGAAACATGATGTCGCTTTACTCCCCTGCAGCAGCTCACCCCGCCACCTCACCTACACCCATCCTGGAAACATGATGTCGCTTTACTCCCCTGCAGCAGCTCACCCCGTCACCTCACCTTCACCTACCCTGGAAACATGATGTCGCTTTACTCCCCTGCAGCAGCCGACCCTGCCACCTCACCAGCACCCACCCTGGAAACATGATGTCGCTTAACTCCCCTGCAGCAGCCGAGCCCGCCACCTCACCCGCACCCACCCTGGAAACATGATGTCGCTTTACTCGCCTGCAGCAGCCGAGCCCGCCACCTTACCCGCACCCACCCTGGAAACATGATGTCGCTTTACTCCCCTGCAGCAGCCGAGCCTGCCACCTCACACGCACCCACCCTGGAAACATTTTGTCGCTTTACTCCCCCTGCAGCAGCCGAGCCCGCCACCTCACCTGCACCCACCCCAGAAACATGATGTCGCTTTGCTCCCCTGGAGCAGCCCGGGGCCCGCCACTCACCTGCACCCACCCCGGAAACATGATGTCGCTTTACCCACAAGAGGAATCCGCCCAAAAAATACCCAATGGGGCACCAAAGGGGGGTTTCTAAGGAATATCATCATCTACGACAGTGGTCTCCAGATGTGGCCCTTGCTGCTCATTGGGATACTATTCCTCCCACTGACACCAACAATGGGGCACTATTTTCCCACTGACACCAACAATGGGGCACTATTCCTCCTATTGACACCAACAATTGGGTACTATTCCTCCTACTGACACTAACAATGGGGTTACTATTCCTCCTACTGACACCAACAATGGGGCACTAATTCTTCCCACTGACACAAACAATGGGGCACTAATTCCTCCCACTGACACAAACAATGGGGCACTATTCTTCCCACTGACACCAACAATGGGGCACTATTCCTCCTATTGCCACCAACAATTGGGTACTATTCCTCCTACTTACACTAACAATGGGGTACTATTCCTCCTACTGACACCAACAATGGGGCACTATTCTTCCCACTGACACCAATGATGAGGCACTATTCCTCCCACTGATACCAACAATGGGGCACCATTCCTCCCACTGACACCAACAATGGGGCACTATTCCTCCCACTGATACCAACAATGGGGCACTATTCCTCCCACTGATGCCAACAATGAGGCACTATTCCTTCTACTGACACCAACAATGAGGTACTATTCTTCCCACTGACACCAACAATGGGCACTATTCTTCCCACTGACACCAACAATGGGGCACTATTCCCCACTGACAACAATGATGGGACACTATTCCTCCCGCTGACACCAACAATGGGGCAGTATTCCTCCCACTGACGCCTGAATGATGAGGCACTATTCCTCCCACTGACACCAATGATGAGGCACTATTGCTCCCACTGATAACAACAATGGGGCACTATTCCTCCCACTGACACCAACAATGAGGCACCATTCCTCCCACTGATACCAACAATGGGGCACCATTCCTCCCACTGACACCAACAATGGGGCACTATTCCTCCCACTGATATCAACAATGGGGCACTATTCCTCCCACTGATATCAACAATGGGGCACTATTCCTCCTACTGACACCAACAATGAGGTACTATTCCTCCCACTGACACCAACAATAAGGCACTATTCCTCCCACTGATGCCAAAAATGGGGCACTATTCTTCCCACTGATACCAACAATGGGAAACTAAATCCCAGTATCTATACCGCCATTTGTAGACGCTATAACTTTCACGTAAACCAATTAATTTACACATGTTGGGATTTTTTTTAGCAAAGACATGTAGCAGAATACATTTTGGCCTAAATTTATGACAAAATTTGATTTTTTACATTTTTTTTTACTGGACATGCTTAATAGCAAAAAGTAAAAAATATAGTTTTTTTTCTCAAAATTGTCAGTCTTTCTTTTTTTATAGTGGAAAAAAAATAAAAAATGCACAGGCGATCAAATACCACCGAAAGCTCAATTTGTGGGAAAAAAAGACGTAAATTTCATTTGGGTGCAGTGTTGCATGAACTCAAAATTATCAGTTGCCGTAACGCAAAAATTTGTCTGGTTAGGAAGGGGGGTAAATCCTCAGGAGGGCAAGTGGTTAAAGGATAAGTTCACCTTTAAAAGAAAAACATAATAAATGTAAATCTTTTTGCAGGTAAAAAAATGTGCATTTATTATCTTTTTTACTTGGAGCCTGTAAAGCACTAGTGACCAGCAGATTGCGGATGTCATGTGGGACTCCTGCACACTTGTCAGCAGGGGTGGACTGACCATTTGGGCACTGCCCAAGGGCCCAGGGTCAGTAGGGGGCCCCATGAGATGCCCCTAGTACCTTTCATAGGCTTTTTTTTTTTGGGTGTGGTTTGAGTGTGGTGAGAACACGGGCCCCATGATCCCCTATTGCCCGGGGACCCCATGAGTTGTCAGTCCGCCCCTGCTTGTCAGTCTATCTGTCTGCTCGTACCTCGTACAGGCAGGTGGATACACACTGACAGGAAGAGACAATGAGCTCAACAGCACCATG